AAAAACACGAAAGAAGTCCCGAAAACCACAAGAAACCAAAGTAACAAACAAAAACCCATGAGAGTAAAACAAAACATGACAGCAACAACGATCCAACAAAGACTGACAGAAACCAGGGAACTAAATCCAAGCAAACTGATAAGAAAACCAGGAAGACCTAGACAAGACACAAAGGGTTGAGGGAGCTAATTGGTTAACACAAGGGACCCGGGTGATAAGAACAGGTGGTAACAAAACCTAACAAGGAAGACAAAAAAGGCACACGAGGATACAAAACCAAATCGAATCTAAACAAAAACAGAACCATGGCGAAAAGTACTGGTCATTTGCACAGTGGTGCCAAGTTTAGTGTCTTTTCTCAAGTCCACAGTCAACGGGGCTATCTTCCAGGAAATTTTAGAGCACTTCATGCTTCATGTTGTCGACGAGCTTTGTGGGGGAAAATAATTTTATTTTCCATCAGGATTTGGCACCTGCCCACAAATCCAAAGCTACCAATTAGACGTTTTGAGAGCCGTGAAATAACAGTGGTTGATGGACCAGCAAACTCACCTGACTTGAACCCCTTTGAAAAATGGATGTGGTATTGTCAAGAGGAGAATGAGGGAAGAGAAACCCTAACAGGTAGACGATCGGAACCCCCATAACAAAGCATCTTGGTCTACTATAACACCTAAACTGTGCCAAAGGCTGATCGCCTTCGTGCCACGCCACCTTGATGCTGTCATTAATGCAAAAGGAAGCCCAACAAACTACTGAGGAAATACTACTTGAATATATTTCATAAGGCCAGCATTTCTGTGTTTAAGATCCTTTCTTGTTGGTCACATGGAGTATTCTAAATATTGGCCTTTTTTGTCTTTCTGCCATAATCCTAAAAGTGGAAAGCCTTGAGCTAGTTCCCTTTGTGTGTGATGAACTTATATAGGTTTCACTTTTTGAAACAAACTTGAAATAAATGGACTTTCCTTTGATATCCAAAATTGGCAGCCACATGTAGTTGTGTGCGTGCGTGGGTACATGGTGCTCTCCCATCATTCCATGATGCTCCCACGCTTCCTCCACGGGCCACATGATCCATCAGCCTCAGGACTGGGAATGTATACATGTTTACATAATGCAACTTTAGTAACCTATGTTGTTGTTTTTTTAGGGGTGGGGTGGGGGGGGGGGTTCTTGTGTCTTCTATTCAGGCCCCTTGAATTTGCATCATGAAATTTGGTTGGCATGGCGATCATAAATCCACCTCCGAAGCCAGTTTGACTTTGATAGTCGTGCCCGTCAAGGGTAGTAGACTCACAAACAAATCTCAAGAAGCCTTGCCAGAAAAGACACAGGAAGTTTGCTATTTTAGTTTGAAGCTGCTATTTTAGATTTTGCCCTCAACTTTCAATTTTAGGAGGGTTCAAAATGGCCTATTGAAAAGCACTTCCTGTCATTTACAAACAGCGGGTGGACAAAAGTTATGAGCCATGTCTTATAATCAATCACTTAATCATTAACAGGATATCCCGTCAAGCAGACATTTTGGAGGGGTCAGTTTGGAAACTGGGTGACAGCGGGGCTTGTCCTCTCCTGGAAGATCCACAAAGGCATGCACTTTTCACCACTTGGAGGTGTCCAAATACTTTTGTCCATTTAGTGAAGTTTCACTAAATGATGGATTCTTGCATTACTTTTTTGATTTGTATTTGTTGTTGTTGTTGTTGTTGTTGTTTCTTTCAAGCTGTGAGCTCACCTGTGTGTGAGGCACGAGCACTTTGACGCGCACACACACACACACACACACACACACACACACACACACACACACACGCACACGCAAACACGATATGAAAGAAAATGCTAAAAATCTATTCATTCAATTAATTTCCACTGATTTTTTTTGGCTTTGGAATAAATTTTTGTTGTTTTTTTTTTTTTTGCTGATCAGAACAAAGTTGAGCGAGTGAGTGAGTGAGTGAGTGAGTGAGTGAGTGAGTGAGTCAGAGCAGGATTTAAAATAATGTAAATAAAAAGAGATTTTATTGACACCCACTCTACATTCTCAATGTGGATATTTCTGTCATGTTTGGGGTGGTGGTAGAAGACCCAAAAAGCAGGGACGCAAAAGAAGCAGGGTGGACTGAACAAAAAAAATACTAACAAAAAAAAAATACTTGCAGGAATACACTGGAAAAACGAACTCAAAGTAACAAACAAAAACCCATGAGAGTAAAACAAAACATGACAGCAACAACGATCCAACAAAGACTGCCAGAAACCAGGGAAGTAACTACAAGCAAAGTGACGAGACAACAAGAAACACCTGGGCAAGACACAAACGGTTGAGGGAGCTGATTGGTTCAACACAAGGGACCCGGATGACGAGAACAGGTGGAGACAAAAAAGGCACATGAGGGAACAAAACCAAATGTCATCGAAACAAAATCAGAAAAATTTGCAATATATTTGTAAAAGCAGGCTTAAAACGCTCATTTGAATCACTACGCTTACCCGGGTCTGAACCCCTAATTTGAAACCCTAATTTAACATTTTGGCTGGAAACCCTTGTTCCAAACTCAAACCAAAACCTATCCTTGTCTTAAATCCTAAACCTTACTTGAACCCAAAACCCAAGGTTGTAACCCTCATTAGAAATACAAATTTAAAACCCGATCTTTGGCTTGAAACATGCTTGAAATTAACCTGAGCTTGAAACCTTAAATTGAAATGACAACTCTTCTTTAAAAACCTAATATTGGGAGGAAACTCTAACGGTAGCCGCTAACCAAGGCTTGAAACCCGAATACCCGACTGTGTCTTCAAACCCTAAGTTTGAAAATGTAATTTGAATCCATAGACCTCGCTTGAAAGGAAACTCTAATATTGAGCCTTGTTGAAACTCTAATTTCTAAGACCAATGCTTTTATTTGAGATTGTAACCCTTGTTTGAATCCCTAATTTAAAACCCTAACCCTTTCAATCCTGGGTTAGGGTTTCCATAAGATTCCATTTGAAACTCTGTCTTGAAAACTTAATTTAAAATCCTAATTAGAAACCCTAATCTTGACTACCACCTCTTATTTGAAGCTTCAACCCTAAAACACTAACCCAGGTTTTAAACCCCCAACTGGAAACCCGAACCTTGGCTTGAAATCTTAATTTCAAACCCTACCCCTTTGCTTCAAACCCAAACCCAGGATCGAAACCCTAATTTCTCACCATAAACGTTTGAACATAAAAATTCCCTTGAATCCATATTTGAAACTTTAGCAGCATTCTGTGGCTGACATCCACCGAGCAGCATGTGTCCTTGTCCGCATTAGCCACTTGTCATCTCACGATTCATCTCCGCAATTGTCCAGGCCATCAAAGAGAAGAATAACGTGGCAGCTAAATTGAGAATCTGTCTTCATCTTTCACACGCTAATCGATGGAAGAGCACCAAACGCGAGCCATTATTCCTTCATCCTCTCCAAAGCTTTTAATATTAAATGCAATCATAGTGAAGGAGAGGAGGCCAGGATGAATACAGCATTTTCCCCTCACTCCCCCTGCCCTGACATTTGAGATGTGCTTCGCGGCGTACAAAAGGTGGCCGTGTTGACTAACAGTGAATGAAATGCACCGCGTGACACTGACATTTGCACAGAGGAGTGCAGCTGGAATCCGCATACAAGATTCCTCCACTATTCTACCTTTGGAAGAGAAAGTGAAAGTAAAAGACAAGTGATTTATGAGAGGTGAGGTTTGCGGACAGCGGAGTACTGACAGCGAGTCAGATTCACAGCAGCCTGACATTAAAAACTGTTCATGAAAAAAAAGAGATACACTGCTCAACAAATAAAGGGAACACTTAACACAATGCAACTCACAAACAGCCTCAACATACGATTGACTTGATTTATTGTTTGACAACCATGTTTTTTGTGATAAAACCATCACACTAACTTGTTTAACATTCAGGTTTCTCCAGAAAAAAAAAGTGACAAAAGTGATTGCAAACGTGAGCAATGAGTCAAGTCGCAATAATGAAGTAACAGGACTAGCTCGTAGTGTCAGGTTTTGTGAGTTGGTAGAGTAGTTGGATGACCCCAAAAAGCAGGGAGGCAGGGAGGAGCAGGGACCAAGATGTATTTAACAAAAATGCAATCAGGAGCACACTGGAGAAACGAGAAACTAACTCAAAAACTCAAACAAAGTCCTGAAAACCACAAGAAAACAAAGTAACAAACAAACAAAAAAACATTGACAAAAACAAAACATGACACATGCACCAAGACACACACACAATGATCCGACACCGACTGGTCGGGCAGGGAGTCCTTTTAACCAAACACTAATGATACAATGACACAGGTGTGCCACTGCAGGAGGAGCCCTACAGTGCCACCTGTTGGTCACAAACAGAACCACCCGAAAAAGTAGAACTGATTAAAACATCTGATTAACCTTTAAAGGAATTTCTACAAATCTTGGAGATCAAAGTTATCACAGCCATACACAAATCTGGGGATAGGGATATAGCTAGGAACTACTTGTCAATGGCCACCCTTCCACAAGTCTCCGAAGTGCTTGAAAAGATTGTTGCTAAGCAACTACTCAACCATCGAAAACCCAACCAATTCCAACCAAAGCTTTTGACATTGTCATAGTTCTGTTTGTTTGTCTCTGGATCGGAGGGCGTCACCTCCAGCTCCGTACCTGCTCATCATCATGTGTTATCATGAATGGACGACTTAAGAACTGCCACGCCAACCACTTGCTGTCAGATTATCAGCTTTGCTCACGACTCTCATACCAAGTGCTTGTATTTTCTCGATGTCCCTGATTTTGCTTCCAAGTTCCCTTGTCACGTTTTGCATTTCTGTATTTTGCACTATTTGGCTGTTGTGCTGCTTTCTTATAAGCCTTCTGTGGATGAATGTTGAGAATTATCACTCATGCTAAAACATTTAAAGCCATGCATCTGGCTGTGATTGGCTGGCAACCAGTTCAGCGTGTACCCCGCCGACTGCCCAAAGACAGCTGGGATAGGCTCCAGCGTGCCTGCGACTCTTGTGAGGATAAGTGGATTAGAAAGTGGATGGATGGATGGATGCGTCTGGTTTTTGTGATGTCAATAGCAAATAAATGCATTGTAATTAATGTATTTATAGGTCTTCAGTAGTTGTTATAAAGTACATTATAGAGTGATGTTTTTCTTCTCTGAAAAAAACAAAATGCATTTTGTTTTGTACTGTCTGACTCATGTCATTCTTTTTTTATCTGTGGTTTTATGTGGACAGCAAAACTATCTAATTCACAAATTTCAAATTAATTTGTCTGCCTGTGGCAAATTAAAGTGCATTTTAAAAGTATCTGGAAAACATTTTGGCGATGCGAAGAGAGACAAAAACAGGCACTTGCCAGCCACTTCATAATCATCATCATTTGCTCCATGGATCAGGTATTGCGTCTATCTCAAAATAGCTCTAAGAAACTTGCATTCACATTTTATATTTGTAAGACAATCTTCCCCTTGCCAGTGTACTCCTTGGGAGAGAATAAATGATGAAATGCAAAGCAGTAAACTGGTGATGACTAGTGAAAGTGTTCTGATTGCAAATGTGTCATGGTCTCATCTCTTTGTGCCTTAACACCAACAACTTTTAATAAGTTAGTCAAGTGGAACTGCTCAACTTTTATGCAGCAATAAATCATCGGTGCAAATTTGGAAGCTCAGCAATTGATTAATGTCACTGCAGACACAACAACAACAACATTATGATGATTCAATTTGTATTCAGATTCAGAATGGAAAACTTTAATGTGCCAAGTGAGAGACAACAGAGGATGCATGTGGTGTTTAGGATGCTGCTATGATGAAGCTGTTGCAAATCATTTTATATCCGCTGGTGTCACATTTTTCAAGCAAATGCAGTCTGAATGGTAAAATGTTGCACTGTAATGGGGAAACTAGCCATTTTCAACCAAAATCTATCAAAACATATCTATACGACAGACTGTGTACCCTTTTAGTGAACAAATAGTGTTTCGAGGTGGGGAAATCAACCTTTTTATGTCAACGTGCATTTTTTAGGAGAAAATGTACTGTTTACCTGTTAAAATGTTCCATATTGTAAAGGGAAAGCAGAATCTGAAAGCAACCATAAATGATTTTAATGGCGTGATCCAGCCTTTAAAGCCCAATACAGTACCTGTATATGGCGAGGCAAACGTGACTAACGTCTCAGCCTTTTGTGGGCATTTTTAATGGGAAAGTATGCATTTAAATGGCAAACGACCATAATAATCTTATAAGTTTGTAAATTGTCTTTTGCCATTCAGGGTCTGTATTTCCATTAGGTTGCCATTGTCGAGTGACGTCAGATTGAGGTCCGTCGGTGAATTCGGTTACCCCCCCCCCCACCCCCACCCAGCGACTTGCAATTCAGACCTCAAAGGTGCGTGCTCGTGTACGTTTCCAAGTAGCACAGTGTAAATCCGTATACGCGTTTCACATAACGCTAAAATGATCATCAAAAAATGTTTTCTGATTAATTTTTTGGGGGGAAGGGGGGCAGGGGATCCTGTGTCATGTTTTGAATGGGAGGGTGAGCAGGTCCATCTGGAGGACAAATGTGAAAATTAAAAGCCTGCCAATTTATATTTTCATGAGTGTGTTACATCCCACTCTCCCCAGACACTCCAGTGGTCAGTGAGTGGAGCCTTTCTTGAGCTATTCGCTAGAAATGAAGTCTGCTTGAGGCTTCCTCTGTAACACCTTAAAATGCCCGAAGATGGCGCCAAATCCCAGGCTAAAATGACGGGTAAAGGTGAAAGTTACTTGAAGTGATACATCTCGACAAGGTATGTGAACTTTGTACGTCTCGGTGTTGCCTGGGTTGCCCGCAGACGTTACAGAGCGATGGCTAAATATGTATGTTTTTGCTCTGCTGAGTTGTATTAATTTAAAGGGGAATGTTTTAAGGTGAGTTTGAAATGACAGGGACATTTTTTGTGTAGATTTACCATTGTAGACTATTCGAAGGAACAGAAATGACGAAAAATATTAGCCCAAATTTTGAAAATACTTTCATGTAATTTTGTGTCTTCTGTGCCACACACTCTCTGTGGTCATACACAGAGTGAATGGGGAGTCTTAAATTTGGTTTCTTTAAACCTGTGTGGCTCAATAAGATAACTAAAATATTACAAATTCCAACTATAATAAAGTTGGAACGTTGTTTTAAACATGAATAAAAACAGAATACAATGATTTGAAAATCATGTTCAATCTATATTTATATGACTACACAAAAATATCCTATCCCAGCTGTCTTGGGGCAGTGGGCAAGGTCGAACCTAAACTGGTTGCCAGCCAATCACAGGGCACACATACACGAACATCAATTTGCTAAAAACAATAAAAGTTTATCAGTTTCAACATTAAATATCTTGTCGTTGTAATTAAACACCGGTTGAATATAATTTCCAAATCATTGTATTCCGTTTTTATTTGTTCAACACAACGTCCGAATTTCATTGCAGTTGGGTTTATACAATATTAGAATTAAACCTCAACAATGAACACATTGTTAAATGAACATAGTGACAGCGCTTTTCATAAATTTAATACAAGGGTCCTGAGATGCAGGAGCGCATGCGTTGTAGCCAGTGCGTGGATACTTGTGAAACCTTGTTACAATTTTAGATATTTTGAAGTGATAATAATGATTAAATAAGTAAGATTTGTGTTCAACACAGGTTATGACGTGGAAGCCAAACACCATTCATTGATTCATGGAGCAGGGTGGTGCAAGCTTCAGACTTCTACAAAAACAAAATGAATAGAAGCTGCATGTCCATGCAGATGTGGAAACACGCATGGAAACATTCCAGTGGGGCGTTTGTGCATAAAGACCAACCCAAAATGTTGAATCACACACACAAAAAAAAAACAATAGCATGTGCATTTTATTAAGGCATAAAGCAAATATGATGATACATTATTACAATGACATCAAAGGCACTTGTTACTACTGTCTACGTGAATCCATTTTTACACACTTTTCATTTTTGGACACATCAAAAGATTTTGGCTTTGAAAAAACATGATTGTTATGATGTCGGTGTCACCTGTGTCAGTTGGTGAACGCCCATCAAGTGCTTGTGAAAACGTGCAAAGAACATGTATTCAAGGCTGTGAACATGAGTGTGAATAGTTCTGAACAAAATAATGACAAGATCAATTCATAGCCTCCAGCATTGTGAATTGGACATCATACAAAATCGAAATCAAAAGGACTCCAGCATAATTGTAGCTGGGAGTGGACAGAAGAAACAATTTTTCACACCACTGTTAAAGCCAGTTGCCAAGCATAGTTCAAATCCAATTAGGACCTGCTCCAACAAGATCATAACACAGGGGAACAATTTGAAAGATAAATTCTGTTGAGTTGGACTTTTATGCTGTGGCATGCTAATTCCATTTTTTTTCCTAGCATGTCAAGTTTTGTTTTTTTTTTCTGCACAGTTGACCAGATAAGCAACATTCCACTGATTAGCTGTACCAAGACTTGCCTGCTTATGACGATTGGACTCATCAACAGCTATGCAGCAATTTGTTTGTGCAGTCAAAATTGAGGTAGTGCAGTGAGAGGAGTGTGCAGCTCCCAATCGGTCAGTACTTCCGATATCCTCAAAACAAAGCTTGCATTGAGGATTAGTGCCGGCTTTTCGCTTAACATTGTAACCTTGGGCAGAACATTGTCAATTCTATTTCATTTCATGATGTTTGTTAGTTTTCAAAGTTTGTAACTATTCCAGCTCGGTGTTTTATTTACGTACACACATATCTATTTAATATATTTTAAAAATGGGGTTCTACAGCTAAAAAACTTGACATGACAGAGAAAAACTGAGATCAGCTTTGGATTCTGCACCCCAAAAAAACTGTTAAAAACAGCTGTTACACCTAACTCAACAAAAACTGTTTCCCAGTGTAACCTTGACCGTTGGAAGTGGACGGTATTCCTGTTTTTGACATTGCTACCTCCTAACAACATAGCTCAGTAATGCTAAAATAAAATCTTTCTAATTGGTGACACAAATGTAAATGGACTCTTTTTACCTTTTATATCAGCTGCATTAAGCAGCTTGGATTGTGGGAAAAAAAACCCAACAACAATCAATAAGGCTCTTGCCCCTGCACAAGACAGTCTTAGACTTTCCCAACAGTGACTGGATAAGAACGGTGTTTACCATTTGGATCACATACGTTTAAAAAAAGAAAAACATAAAACCACAAACTACAGTTCTGCATAGATACTAGTAGCTTTACCTGAGAACAAGTTTTCATTTTGACAGTATATTAAGCTTTCAGCTCTACATTTTGGACTTTGCTTTTGAAATAAATATATAGAAAAAAAACACCTCTCCTTTTTTGGGGGAGGGAGGGTGAACTTTGCTCAGCACTGTGGTTGTTTGGCAAGTGCATCACCCTTGACAAACACACAGACGGAGAAATAGAACATTGGCTGCTGAACAGATGAGGGAACGCCTGCTAATGACTGTGTCAACGTGGAATAAAAATAAATTACATCTTGCTACTTCTGTGTGTCAGTCATTTGGATGTCAGTAACTTGTCTCTTGTGCTACGCTGGCTTTGACATAAAACTTTGGCAATGCACCACGGTGTCATTTCAGTAACAACAACATAAACTTCCAGAAAAAGTTGCCTCCCTTGTAGACTGGAGGTTACGAACAATTATGTACAGTATGTCTCCAAAAAAGCAAAACTCGCCCATAGTGAGCACGAGCAAGTATCAGATTCTGACTGTATGAGAACCATGAGCAAATATATACGTTTCAAGATATTGTAATTATTGATCTACAAGCGCATAATGTATGACTTTAAAGTGTTTGGGTAGGTAACTTTTTCCCATTAAACATTTTCCATAGGTCCATTTGTAAACAGACATCTTGCACCAACAACATATGATGGAAAGCTTTTTTAAAACCATGGCATACCTTGAAACCAGTAACCTTACCTAGTCAACTAAGTCGTTTCCACTTTTTAACCCTGAAACCGCCAATAGAATATACACCACAAGATTCATGTAATTTGGAAACACTTCATGACAGCGTCAATACAAAACAAAACATGAAATCAGATATCCCTGAGGGGGGGAAGGGGTGGTGGTCGCTCAATAAGATGTTTTTGATTACTTGAGATAGGTGTGTTTATTTTTAGCATGCAAGATGGCAGTTAGGACGAGCTGGCAGAAACGATTGCATTACAGTCAGAGACCTGCAGAGTAAACCCAGCCCGAGAAGGCACAATCAGTAACCATCATCATCATCATCATAACAAGGCACAACTTGTTTTCATAAAGATATCGGCTCAGTAAATCTCAACATGTGCCGTTTGGCACGAACGCACGCTGCAGGTGATGGACGGCGTCTGCAATGGTGAAGAAGGTCAGGCGGTCATCTTCTCCCTTTTTTTCCGAGAAGTACCCACCTCGATGGAGGGCGTCCAGCACGGCCGTGTTGCACTGAGCCAGGACCACCGCTACCCCCAGCTCAGCGTAATCACTGTGCACTTCCTTCAGGGCGTTGACGCCAGCGCTGTCCAGGAAGAAGACAGCGCTGCAGTCCAGGACTAAGTTGCGTAAAGGTTTCTGGTCCAGCGACAATGTGATGCTGGCGGTGCCCTCGCCGTCCTCTTTGCAAGGGAGTTCTGGCTCGGTGTTCTGCCGTTTGAGCTTCTTCTCAAACTTGATGCGCCGTGACTTCTCCTTTACCGGGTCGAGTCCCGCACATCGGTACAAAGACTTCTTGAACAAACTCTGATTGGCATAGTAGATGGGTGCTGGATACCTGAAGACGGCCACGCCCGAGTGAGCGTGGAGGCCGCTGTACGCTGACAGCACCTCATAGTGGTCCCTGTCGGAGGTCCGGCCCAGCTCCTGCGCCTGAGCCCGCTGCGTCCGGCCCAGGACACTGAAGGCGGACACCAGGATGCCCACCAGGAGGCCCAGCTCCGTGTTGATCAGCGCCGAGGTGGCCATGGTGATAAGCCAGATGGCGGCGTCTATGCGGTTAGTGTGCCACATGCTGGGGACGTCGGCGAACTTGCGTAGGGCGCCACGAAGGTTAACCACGATGATGACAGCCAACACGCACCTAGACGGAAAGCCAGAGTTGCCTGAATGGGTTGCCAGAACCTGAAGAAAATGCTAATTTTGAGGTGACCGTAACTCACTTCTGAAGGGAATAAAAGAGCGGAGCGATGACCAGCAGCACCAGCAGCAGCACCACGGCACTCACCAGGCCTGATACCTGCGTCTGGCAGCCCGTCGACTCCTTGACCAGTGTCTTTGTCAGCGCAGCGCTGGTGGTGAAGCAACGGAAGAAGGACGGCAGGATGTTGCAGAAGCCGATGGCGTACATCTCCTGGTTGGCATCGACACGGTAGCCGTGCTTTTTGGCAAACATCTCCGATAGCGACACGGTGATAGCGAAGCCCACTAGTGCAATAGAGAAGGCGTCCATCGCCACGCTGGGGATGAGTGACCACGCCGGCAGCTGTGGCGGCAGGAAGCCCGTTGGGATTTCGCCTGCTACGTCTGAGCCGTAGTCTTCGTTGAAGCGGCCGAAATGAGATGCCAGCGTTGCAATGATGACGACAAACAGCTCAAAGGGAATCGGAGCCTGGGTAACAAGCAGAGGAACAGCGATTTGAGGAAGGCATTCATGTACAAACGGTGTGTTTCGATAAGTACTGCTGTTTTGGTTAGCAACGGAGTTCAAAGGGAGTCAGCAGTGAACCATTCAATGTCCATTATCGAACAGTGGCATTCGATAATTACAATTCCTGGTGGAGAAAAAAGCGGGGTGTCTATATACTGGAGGTGTTTACTTTTTACTGGTGTTAAATGTACCCAGCAACTGACTGGGGCATGTCGTCAATTTGAGAGACAACCATTATTTGAGGAAATGACAATACATTTCTAGACGTGGGCCACTTTGAAAGGAAAAGTACTTGGCAAAGGAACTGTTTATTTGCCTGAAATACATGAATGACTCACCCATCAACTACTTGGTGCTTGGCTTCCCACTATTTGAGGAAATTATACATTTCTGGACCTGTGCCAAAATGTAAAGAGAGTAAGTCATCTATTTGCCTGTGCATGACTAACATGTTGGGAAATGGTGTCTCAATATTTGAACAAATACCAATCAGTTTCTTGAGCTGCACTAAAATATGAAATACATAAGGTACCTATTTAAGGAGGCCTTTGGTTTTCTGAAGTGAATGACACACCCAGCAAATTACTGTTGGTGTCACAATATTTACTTCTTGTTTATTTGATTGAGTTGTTTATTATTGAAGTGAATGACTAACCCAGCAACTAACGCAACACATTTCTTGACATGTGCCTTAACTCAAAGAAAGGCCTCTTTTCCCCGAGTGAGTGACTGACCTTCAGCTTGGCTTTGTAGTGGTCGTTGAGCTCCTTGGTGGGCAGCAGCAGCAGCAGGCACACCAGACTGGTGATCAGGTCGCACAGGTTGCTCTTTCCCAGGTTGGCCAGCAAACTGAACCAGGTCTTGAAGAACGTGAACCAGCCCTGCGGCCGGGTGATCTTTAGACCCAGCATGTACTTGACTTGGGAGGTGAGGATGGTGAGCGAGGCTCCCGTAGCAAAGCCGCTGAGCAGTGAGTTTGACAGGTAGACGGACACAAAGCCTACTTGGAAGATAGCCATCAGCACTTGGTAAACCCCCGCGATGAAAGTGACAGTTGCTCCCACGGTTATCGCATAGCAGCTCCTGTCACATGCCTCCACCATGCTATTATTGCTGCCCCTCAGGTTGGCACTGCCATTGCCGCCAACGCCGCCGTCCACAAGGTATCCCGCCACCGCCAACTCTCGGTCCACTACCTGACCCACTAGCAGGCACAGCACACCGAAAATTCCCACAGAGATGTGTTTGGAGGTGCCCAGCAGCGTGTAGATGATGGAGGAGAAGAAGGAGGTGTAGAGCCCATAGATGGGATCCTGGCCGGCCAATAAGGAGTAAGCAATAGACTGGGGAACCAATAGGATTCCAACGATGAGTCCTGACATGACATCCCCAAGTAGCCAGTCTCGGAGCTGGTACTGCGGCAGCCATCTCAGGATGGGGACAAAGCCCAGGATTTTGGACTTGATCTTTTGTGGTGAGCAGGAGCAGTGTTCCCTGAAGTAGCGTGACAACACCACCTGGCAGCTTTGTCCTCCTTCTTCTGGCACTCTCTCCAGGATGAGCGGCTCATAATGCTCATTCTTGGTCCTGTCCCCAGATGCCGTGCAGCAGGCATCTTCATGAGGCATCATCAAGCTGTCTACGGTCAACAGAAACAAAGTTAGGATCACAATAACTGGTCAGAGGAGGCATCGCATTAATCGTACAACACTTGTATTGCGTGAGCGAGCATGAGGTTGACCTTTCATTGACTGGATTGAGGGCTGCAACCATTAAGTTTTACACACATTCTACAGAAGTCACATGCAACACCCCGTGTAGAAATAAATTGGTGTGATGGCAGCAAGCAGGGAGGAATGACAGACTGTCCAGCACTTACAGTTAAACGGCGCCGACACTCCTCCCAATCAAAATCAGTGCTGGTACAGGTGTACTGCCGAGAAGGCGCAACCAACAAGCACAGATTGGATTGGATTGGATTGGATACAACTTTATTGTCAAATGTACTGTATATAGAGCACAAATGAAATTTCTTCCCTCACAACATAAAACAAGAAACAAGAGGAGCCGCTGCGGGTGTCCGCGCCGCCATCAAAAGAAAAGTTAACAAAAAAATGACAAAATAATACAAGACAACACATGAGACACAGACAATCGTGCAATCTTAACCACTGTCCTGCATACACTTTGTTGTCTGAAGCAGTTACAGATGAAAGAGGAGCGATTCAAAGTGTCCTTTTCACCAGTGGATCAGAGACGTCATGCTGCAATGTGCAAACGTCTGCTACAAGCTAAGCTTGAAAGCAGCAAGAAGCTGTAGCATCCATTCACGAAAAAGAGAGATTGGCTCTCTTCTCCTGTCCCATGTAAATCCGCTTCAATTCCAAGCCGCGACTCCCAGTTCCACATACGCATCAGCGCTCTGCGCTGACGCTCTTTTCTTCTCATCGTCGGCTCCTCAATCCATGCATCCATCCAGCCGCAGACTGTCCATCAGCACCGACCTTTTCGCTGAACAAAGCGGGGCTGTGAAAATGCTGCCTACTTCAGGCGCAAGAGACAAGCGCCCCGGGGATGTCCAGCAACGACAGTCAAATGGCGCCGACATTCCTCCCAATCCTCCCAAGATTCTTCACCTTTGACGAATGTCGTGGCCAAAAAACTCTGAAAACAGTCCACATCAGGTCCCCACGACGAAACAACAAACACCATGTGACAAAACAAAAGACAAAAACAACAAAAAAAACAAGATTCTTGAAGGGCACTTACAGACGGCTGCCTACTTGGGCGCCATCTTGAAAACAAACAAACAAACAAAAAAAGGCGAACCTAAGTGGATAAAAATAATAGCTTCACTTCACATGCACGTTATTGTGCTAAGTAATGCCAAATTTAATTTTATTCAATAAGTTGATTCATTAAGGCAGAATTAATTATTTTGTTGTTGTGGTGGTTATAACAGAGAAAGTATTCAACTATTTTTAATAACACGTTTAAATACTTAGGGTTAGGGTTAGGGTAAGAGAGTGCCATAATGAGGAAAGTACAAGCTAGGAACCAAGCGCACAAGCGCTTCAATACACTGCAAAGTGTGAAAGAAAGAAAGCTTTCACATGGGTTGAAGCCCCTCTGAGACATCATCATATTACAGGTCAAGTCAGTCGGGCGTGGGGGGGGGGGGGCTCCCACTAGTGCTAATTTATGAAATAAGGTCAGGAAAAACACGATGAATAGTCACTGAGCAGTTTCTTTAGCAGCATCGTTTCAATACTTACTGTACATCTGAACACCATTTTCAAAAGGACACTAATTGTGACGTCTGTTTTTTCCATACACATTATTTTAACACTGAATACAGACGGCAACATATTTCTCTTTCTTAATAATTCTTATAAGAGTGGCTCACTCATGGCAACCACAATAACTTTGCCAGTGTGTGCTCCGCGTTGATGAGATTATTGGTGCAGGCTATGTTTAACAGCTAATGCCGAAAAGCTGCCATTAAAAAAGAAGATTAAACGTCCTTTTCATATCAAGCAGCTACCGTGTTTACTCAAGAGTATGAATGAACGTCTTTGTGAACAAGTCGCCATCCGGCAACGTGTCAAACTTTAAGATGCGAGTTTATGTCACTTTTGGTCGACGCGGCGAGGAACAAAATGGTCGTTTTAAAAATATTTACGTTAAAGTCACTGACCTGATCTCTCCTGGAATTATTCGCAAACGGCGTTCAGAGAAGATGGCTGTTTTCTTAATTATTCCATTCCGTTTCTATTTCATGTACTGCAGAAGCACCGCTGCGTGAGGGCAACGTGACGTCACGACGGAACACGAGAACTGGGTCACGTGAGATGCTCGGACAACAAAGATAGGTCGCGCGCCCAACGAACTGTCACTCCGACTAGACTCGCGCTCTAGGGCCACTCAATTAGGTACACCATCTAAAGTTCAAAAGAATGGTTTATGAGTATAATAGCGTAGTGTCTGATCTTCTTACTTGTATCATGTATGATGTATTAAATGGCGAGATTATTTATCACATTTCGATCATGACAAAGCCTATCCAGCAATTTAACGTCATCTCTTTGTTTTTTATGCAGCTCATTTTAATAAGAAAGAGCTCCAATAATTGAGCAATATTAAACGCCCCCCTCCCATAAAAATACAGGCTTCACACCAAAATGGCCGACTACGTCTGCATTTCACAACTTTGCTTCCGTTTTGTTATGTGTGTGTGTGTGTGTGTGTGTGTGTGTGTGTGTGTGTGTGTGTGTGTAAAAATGAATGCATGCTGGCTTTCATGTCAATATTCCAACAGGAATATGAGAGAACAATGCCCATGCTGCAATAAAAAAGGGAGGATTCCCAGGTGGTGGCCCTCAACTGTGGAAAACATCGTAATCTCAGCCTTGCATTTGTGTGCAGGTTTACGCGCACGTGATTATTTAAAGGCACCCTTGCAATAATCCTCTTTGCTCTCTCATCCACCTGCAGACTGTGTGATAAAACAGAGGAATTAGACACTGTGCTGCTGGAGACAATACGGACACTTCATTAGGTACCGCTTGTCTTTTATGATCGATATATGTGCTTGCTGTGACGTCATGAGTGTTGTGATCAAGGTTATCATAGCTAACGAAGACGAATGAAATTACTAGAACGAACATTGAAAAAGTACTTTCTCCGACGACATAAAACAAAAACGAAGAATCCTTTCAAAAATGAAAACTAGCTGAAATTACATTTTACAATTAGAAAGGTAACTCAAACTAACAATATTTACTGTACCTCTAAATTGTCTGTTTTTGGGTTAGTCAGTTAGTTTCAAAGATTAACTTTTGAAGGTTCATTTTAAATGTGTTTTTTCCCGTGTTGCTACACAGAAAAAGGAAGGTGAAACAGTTCTTTGTTGTTTACTTGACTACACAATACTTTGTGACTTTTTTGTATGTTGCTCTCAACAAATACTCCATATTAAAAAAAAACTCGTCTTAGAACATATTTTTCTTCTTTGTCTTTCGACTAAGCATGAGACTCGACCTTGTTTTAGTGTTGTATTCTGTTTTGTTATTCATACTGTAGCAAAAAAAAAAAAAACAACCAAAAAAAAAACGACCGAACAACGGCTCTTATCTAAAATTCCTAAATCATGTCACTCGTATCTCAAGGCACAATTGTATATTATTGATGTCCGCTTTGCTCCACAGTCATGGTGGATGCCGCCACGGCCACGCAGTTCCTGGACGCCAACCCCCATTTTGCCAAGCACTATTACGATGTCAACTTCCGACCCAAGGTGGTGTCGGATTTGCTGGATAATGGCCGCGCCACGGCGGTCGACGTGAGCCGCTATCACCGGCTCACTGCAGTGGAAGAGAGCGAGATCCTCTTCGACCTAGTGCGAGACATCCAGGACAACCTGCAGATGGAAAAGTCCCTCTTCAATCTCATGAGGCACCTCAGCTTCATGTTGAGGGCCGACTGCATGAGCCTCTTCATGTACCGACAAAGGAACGGCGTGGCTGAGCTTGCCACTAGGTTGATCCTCCAACATTTAATCTATTTAACAAATCCTAAATAGTATTGTTTTTCATTTACAGTAAAGACACCAAAACCTCTGCCAAGACCGAAAAAAAGTCCTGTAGTTGGCAGTACTGCGCATTGCAAAGCCTCATGCAACAAATGTGTTCTCCAGTTATAGTTACATATGCTGTGTCGTTTCTTCTGACCCCGATACGAGAAGATCGTAACTGTCAAAAGTGGAGAAAAAAAATCCCACGAGCCACACTTTTATCCAGATTTGCATCTAAGCGTGATGGTCCTTGTGTAATATTGTTAACTAATGACTAAATCTGCTGGATCAGGTGGGTGGTTGCCACTCTTGGGTCCCGAAGGCAAGTGGAGTGTAACGTCAGAAAGTGCAAATATTGTACTGTATATTCCTTCTTGACTCACTAACTGTAACTGAGTAACACTATATCACTCATAAACTCAATGTGCACAATTTTGGTAGAATGGCACTCATGCGCTCGGTGTAAAAACGGGCATAACTTCATTTTCGAGCCAGCACAAGCCTAGTCTAGTGTGTTTCGGACCTCGTTCCGCCTTTCCGGGTGTTCTGGCATGCAGAGTTGCCTGGCCCCCGACTCATCCGGCAATTAGGTCATAGAAATTAGTTTGTGCTGGGCGTAACAACTGGCGCATCATCATTTTCATGCCAGAGCAATGGTCTAGGTTGGGTTGCAGATACACCTTCCACTTTGGAAAGTAACTGCCAACAGTGGGCGGAACAAACCACCTTGATCCACAGATTAGAAAAATACACAGAATTGGTCTCCTGTTACTGATGCAGAATTATCACTTGTCCCTTGCAGATTGTTTAACGTGCATAAAGATTCCGTGTTTGACGACTGCCTGGTACAGCCTGATAGTGAAATTGTGTACCCGCTGGATTTGGGCATCGTGGGCCATGTGGCCTCCACCAAGAAGATGGTCAACGTGCCTGACGTGTCCCAGGTAATAAATTGATGCACTTACACACTTTAACATACCACAGTAGTAGAACCTTCAAAACCTCCAAACATGATCATTAATATGTGTATCAAGGCAGAATTTTTGGCCTGGATATTAATACACTGAACTCACAACGTATTAAAAGTAACAATTTCAAGAATGTGAATCAAAGTATTAAATCTAGGCATGTGTGTGTGTGTGTGTGTGTTATATATATATATATATATATGTATGCTTTATGTAGTGTTTATTTCATATGTGTGTGTAATATTTGCTCATATTATTGTGGAGCTCATTAATTAATTGTTGTCGGAATTAATATTAATTTTTATTTTTCAAGATGAGCGGTATTCTATACTTTGTCCAGTCCATCTAATTTTGCACACTTTCAACCGTAAAGGGAATATTGTAGCGCTTCAAGAAAGGGTACTTTTCTGTATTTTAAATCATTTATACAATCATTTATATTCGACTTGAAATAATAAATGCTTAAATTCCTAAATAAAAAAAGACCTTTTCTGGATTTTTAAAGTTTTATCAATAAATGTATACTTTCAATTCAAAATCTAATTTAGTACATCATTCTTATAAGCTGGCGGCCCGGTAGTCCAGTGGTTAGCACGTCGACTTCACAGTGCAGAGGTATCGGGTTCAATTCCAGCTCCGGCCTCCCTGTGTGGAGTTTGCATGTTCTCCCCGGGTGCTCCGGTTTCCTCCCACATTCCAAAAACATGCATGGCAGGCTGATTGAACACTCTGAATTGTCCCTAGGTGTGAATGTGAGCATGGATGGTTGTTCGTCTCTGTGTGCCCTGCGATTGGCTGGCAACCGATTCAGGGTGTCCCCCGCCTACTGCTCGAAGACAGCTGGGATAGGCTCCAGCACCCCCGCGACCCTAGTGAGGATCAAGCGGTTCGGAAAATGAATGAATGAATGAATGAATGAATTCTTATAAGCTATAATAATAACGATAATGATGATAATTATGATGGTGATGATGATGATAATAATAATTATGATTATTATTGTTAGTAGTGGCAGTAGTGGCACTCGTAGTATCTAATGTGACCTATTTTGACAACTAAAACAGTGCTACAGCAGTGCTCCCAATGTTCCTTGCAGTGCCTTAGCCGCCGCTTATAATAATCCTCTTATCCCGTATCGGTGAAAGAATGTAACTGATCCATCCAGGGTGGGATGAATCCTACAAAACTCTTATTCAGTTCCCCCCTGTTAATAATCTCCCAGTGCAATTTATTATTTTTTTCCCCCCGATGCTCTGCACTACAATAGCCACCAGAGAGCGACGTGACACCACAATTTCCTTCCAAACCATGCATCCAAAACCATGATTTTATCACTCCAGTATTTGGAAGTGTTTCGTCAATTTTATTCTCACATGGAGCAGTAAACACAATCCTCCCGGGGCTTGACTGATGGGCATACCATGAGTAAAATTGGGTCAATTACAAAACCTCTGGTGACAGCTCGTGTTTTGTCATAATTGGCTAGCTTTGTGATGCTAATGCAGTGAGTGCAGCGCCTTTTCCGGCGGGTTGCTGAGACTTTCTTGATCCACTGAAGGTGGAGATTATGTTTGGGATTTGTATGTGTGTGTGTGTGTGTGTGTGTGTGTGTGTGTGTGTGTGTGTGTGTGTGTGTGTGTGTGTGTGTGTGTGAGTGTGTAATAAAAAAAACCGATTGGAGAACAGAAAGGGTTGGAAACTTGAGTCAGTGAGATTCATGAAGGCCTTCTTTCATGTAA